CTTTAAAGCTTAGACTTCAAATGTTGATAGTTTTTAAAGCCCAAGGAGTATAATGAATTTATTTTAAACGGAAAAGGTTTTGCTGTAAAAGATATGTATAGAATCACAAATTCTAGGATTTTAAGGAGAGAAGGAAATCCATGACTTATCCTCTAAAAAATAAAGATGATGTCAATTGACTTTTTTTTTTCTAATATTTTGAGCTCTACTTTTTAAACATATGACCAAAGGCAAAAAAAAAAATTTTTTTTTTTTGTGACCAAAGGAAGCAACGCTTATACACAAGTGAAAAACATCAAGCCACTTTTATTACTAACAATAGATTCAAAAAGATACAAGATAGATAATATACAATGCCACATCACTTAAACTAGAAATATAGACATACACCCGACATCCTTAAAACTAAAGTATAAAAATACAGGATTACTGTCCTTTGATGCAACCTAGGTTCAAAAACATGAAATGACAAATACAATTTAGAAGTATTCTTTTGCCAAAGTTTTAGCATTCTTTTACCCATCCGCAAACTACTGCAGGTTGGAGTCTGAAACTTCACGTAGATTTTTTTGTCCTTCATTTGCCATGCCTCTTCGGGTTTGAACTCGAGGAAGCTTCTGCCGTGGAGTGCTGTTCGAGATAATATCCAAATGAAGCAGATACTTGAGGTATGACATACGTTTACCATTAGATTTAGCTAAGGTTTTTTTAAGTCCAAAAGATTACGCATGTTGTTTGCACCAAAAAAAAAAAAAAAAAGACTTTGATCAAGTGTTAAATCACTTGTTTTGTAGCATTAGATATAGCCATTATTTGTCAAAACAAGAATTTTGACTTCTTTAGTCCACGTTTGTTAGACTTCCACTTCATCGTGAACATTAAAATCATTTATGTGTTCGGATCTTGAATGTACAAAAAGTTTATATATTTACTGTGTTGACGTCACAAAATTTACGGTCAATGTATCACTGAAAACATATGTTACAAAATCTGATGGTACTAGATATTTCTATATTTTTGCCAAATTGGCTGTTAGATATGAACCCAAATTTCATGCTTATTATATTAGAATAAATGAATGTAAAATGTATGATATTTTACACACTTATCATGTTGGTTCCTGATATTAAAATGTATAAATATCCCGTGATATCAAATTTGACTGCCTTTAAATATTTGATATTTTGTATTAATTATTTGGAAAAAATGGATTTTTGTAAATGTAAGTTATTTGTGAAAATATTATCTTGTGCTTTATCGTTCTTGCAAATTGTACGGTAGGAATAAGTATCAACTATCAAATTCTTAATTAGAGGCTGTGGGAGGATAAATAATTATGCTTTCAATCTATTTTTCAAAGGAGAAAGCCAAAGTAGAAAATTAATCAATGCTCACCGAAATAGTTCCTGAACCCATATTCCAATCATAGCAACTGCGAACAGCATCGTCTCTTATTTTTTCCAAATCCAGGCCATTACGATTCCTTCAAGAGATCAACTTCCAAACCAAAGCCTCCATTGTTAAGAATTTTGACAGCTTTTTTCTTTTTCACTAAAGATACAAAATTAACAACTGAAAATGAAAGGGAACTAAGCTGTAGTCATATATATATATGAGCTATCATCATCGGAGGGATCGAGATTATAAGTAACCATGTAGAGTGTTACTAAAGACTAACCTTGGTACATCACCGTCCTTCAACTTATGCACCTTTACTTCGTTTTTGTCAACGGCGGCAACAAATTTAGAGTCCATAAGATCGCCCTGCGAGACCTTCAAGTTAGTTGGATTGCCATCTACTGTGAAGAAGTAATCTGGAGCACAACGCACATGCTTAGCAACACGCCGCAATTGTTTTCTACTGAACCTTTGTTCATTAATTTTAGGGTTTGGATTGTGCTCTCGTAACTTAGCCTTGGCCATACGTAGCTCTACATCCTTGCCACTTTCAGTGGCCCTCAAACCTACAGATTGGCGGGATAGACAAACAATTGATGTCGAACTGTGTTTATTACCCCTCTTTAGAAAAGGGATACTATGCAACACACAAAACTCAAATTGTGAAAAAAAAAAAAGACGGGTTAATCAGAGCTTGATTTAATACGCTAATAGAAATGATAATGACGAGAGAGAAGCCTTTCAAGTTCAATGACACCAAAAATGAGCGTGAGAAGCAGTGGTTTTTGGTTGAGCGGTCAAGGGATGGGTTGGTACTATTTATACGACTTTGGAGGAGGGAAGTAATGTTACTCATAAGTGATTCTAGAGTAATTCAATATTATGTATTTGAGTGATACAAATTTGGCCTTGAATCTTCTGTTACACAATTATGTATTATATCCCTGTTAGAGTGTACGTAAGTTTTACAAATATTTGGTGTAATGTTCTATTCGATTGGTGTAAAACAATATTTGGTAATTGTACTAAATATTGTTTTACACCAATTCATTGACAAGATGTATCGAATATTATAAGAATTACACTAACTTAAGGAGATTAACGTGCACTTGTGTAATAGAAGATTTGTTGCCTACAATTTTGTCGATCCCCTCTTAGCTATCTTGGTGTATATATATTTGATCTTTCTTCTTTGTGAAGAATCCCTAATATGAAAACATGAAAGCTCTATCTTTCTTGCCAGTTGCGATTTCTTTTCTTTCCAATCCCCACTGCGTATAATGTCAAGTTTCAGAAGAAACTTGTCAGAAATTGGAAGGCTACGTGAGTAATTAATTAGAGACCAATCTCAAGTCTGATCGTATAAAAATAACAAAAAATTAAAAAAAAAAGGATAAAAGAAAGATACCCAATCTCCTCGACAGCCAAAACAAGATTTTCATTCTCGCTCATGACGGTACGAAACTGATTATCAACTCAAGGAATGCATTAATTATTGCCAAGCTGCTTGTATCATGAATTAAGAACTAAAATTAATGGCTCGTACACTGAAAAGCAATGTGTGCTTATTGCGTGTCCATGCAAAATATTTTGATCGCTCAAGCCGATAAGGTTATCACTTACTAGTTTAGTTCATTTTCATTGGTTCATGTGTGGAACAACTTGGTTCTGCAGGCTCTCCCGACGACAGATTTATTACAATCTCATGTTTCTGTTGAGACCGAATGGCCCCTGAATTTTGAGAAAAGCCAACTTCTACATTTTTATTAAATATAACCAATTGAATTAGTGATATATATTTGACAAATTTTCAATTATGTTATCACGTTTCTGCGCCTAACTGCCAAGCTAAAAAAATGCAACCACGAGAAAAACCTTTTTTTAAAAAAAAAAAAATATAGGAAAATATTGGTCCACCCCTCGACAATAATGGGCTAGACTAACCATTACCTAAGGGGAGAGAGAAGGCCCCCCTCGTCCACAAAATGGAGGAATGAATCTCTCCTACCACCAGTTTGCAAGACAACATGGGGGAACTCTGGGAAAATCACTAGTATTAACACTCTTATTGTTCGTTACAAAGGAAGCATATTTAAAAAGTTATGGAAGTATAGCTCCACATTTGAGATTCCAACCTAAAGTTACAATTTGTTTAATTATTCCTGATTCTTGGCTCAAAATATCTTGCTTTCTAAAATTTTGAGATGGGATAATTTTAGAAACCTTCCTTGAGGTTTCTTACTATTTCACTTAGTTTGTTTGACGTTTTAAAAATTACACTTACCTCTTTTGATTTGACACTTTGGCAACCAAACTTTAAAATAGAGTAAAAAATTTAATGAATAACCTAAAATACCTTTATCTTACAAAGTTCAATTTGTTCTTCTAAACAAAAAGAGTGTCAAGTTTTTCATACTAATATTTGTTATTTGATAATCAATTATAACAATAAATCTTTTGCTATAATATGGTATTTTTCATAGTGCTTTTTTGGAAATATAAATTCTTTTTAAGATAGAGAAGAAAGTGCTATTTTATTTTCTTTAAAGTTTATGGACTATTTTTTAATAAAAATTTATGGACTAATTTAGTGGTGGAACTATCATAATATGTTAGTGATTTTGGACCATTTGGTTTTAATCATTGTTGACTTATCCTTGATTTTGATACCAGATAAAACAGCTACAAAAATATTGGAGGATATTAAAAGTTATCAAAAAAATATTATTTGTTTAACGTTTAATTTGAATAGATATTAGGGACAACATTGATATTTCTTCTATACTTCTGATGAAATATAAAAGAAAAGAATAAGAAGGAAAAAGGTCAAAAAAAATACTGGCATAAACATGGTAACAAAAGAGTTTTATTAAGAATACTAATGTTAGTATTATCATTTTAAATGGGCAAGGGAGGTAGATGTAATTTTTGAAACCTTAGGGGAGCCAAGTGAAATTATTAGAATCCTCATAGGAGATTTCTGAAATTATCCCTTTTGAAAACGAAGACAGTAGTATCGTTTCAAGCTTTTGGACAGTTTTTCCAAGATCATTAATCATTATAGCATGAGAAAATTATAGAGCTAAATGGAAGTCTGGGAAGGACCATAGTTGTCATCTGCGCAGCAATATCGGCAAGCTTCCCGACGTACACCAGATGCCCAAATATGGGACTCAGTTTAGAAATCAATGAAGAGATGGCGTAACCAATGATGCATAATCTTGACGTGAGATTAAGGTCGGTTCAAGTGATTAATAGCAAGTTAATATGTGTAGAGTCCAAGAATACAGTTGTTCCAGATGTCGGAGAACCATAAGATTTGCATCTCCACACGAGAAATCTGATTATCATACCTAATATATATATATATATGCTTCCGTTTTTCCAGTCGAACCTAGCATGCAATGTCATTGGCTGGTTGATTGTAAACTAAGTTTGCTAACCAATTGAATTTGTTGGTGGAGAGGACATGTTTCGCGATCATTGGAAATTGACCTCTTCTGGCGATCCATTGAATATGTTCGTAGAGTCAAAGAACATATGTAATCATTCTCAAGGACCATGTACATAAATAAACAAACGCAAAAAACTTTGGCAGTCAATCTTCAAAGATTCAAACAACAGAGAAGCAGCGAACTTAAAATGTTCCAAACCAAATAAATGTATTACATAACTATAATTCTCATAACTTAGTTTATAACTTGGCGGACGACAAACAACTGGAAGCAACCACAAAACATCAATCTACTAAGCTTGGAAACTTGGACAACCCTTGTTGAAGCTTTAATATTTAGCACTGACCAATTTATCTTGCCGTTCACCATGTCTGCAAAAAAAAAAAAAAAAAAAAAAGACCAGAAAAGTGAAATTCAAAAATCATAAATACTGAAAAAAAAAATTGCCATCTTCAAAATTTATTAGCACAAATTCAGCTGTACTGGAATAAACTACTAGAATAGTTCCAACAGTATGCATACTTATAATAAGTAACCTTATGTATTAAAGAAAACAATTCAGTATCTGATAGATCAATGCAGAAGGTGAAAGCTGAACAAATCATATTTCTTTCACTTTGAATTTTTGCAATTATTCAATTCTTTTTAGACTGCAATCAATAGTTAGTTTTCATGATGACGTGTGTTTATTTTTTGCTGAAGTAAAACTTTCAAAGTATATTTTAAACTGTGCTTTGGGACTGTTTACTTGAGTTGTTAACTGCATACAACATAAGATTAATTACTCAATTTAAAGCTTCAGAACCAATTAGGATTGAAGTTTCAAATATTTCTTGTGCGCTTTTAGGGGCATCTAGAAACGAATATCTTCATTTGAAGCTTTAACCTGGTACTGCTCTTAAGTCTTTCTAAACATGAAACTTTAGATTTTCAATTCACTCAATGACTTTCTTAAGATTTACCTTATTTGTTTGTCATAAATAATTTTTTTAGATCAACTTGTATCCTTTTTATTGGATTTACCTAATCTCTTTTTTTTAGTCTAAATTATACGAGTACTCAATGGTACTTTGGCAAACAAAATGCTTTTACCATTTATATGATGTTTCTAGACATATGGACTAACTTTTTTATAGTGAAATTCAGAGTAGGGGAGGTAGCTAGGTGTAATATTCAAAACTTTAGGGGAGCCAAGTGAAAGGTTTGTAAACCTCAAGAGAGGTTTATCCAGAATCAACAAGAATATTCTAGGGTAAATTTTTAATTTTAGATTTTTTTCTATTAAAAGTTTCAAAATTTAATTAACAAGCTAAAAAAAGGATATAAAAAATGATATGTGGTAATCAAAATCTTAAAGTAGATGGAATAATCAAAACAAAATATGCCCATAATGTTTAACATTAATTCCTGTTGGCATAGGATGTTCATAAATTTACTCGTTCTGTAGTCTGTGGTGTCATATGTAATCGTGGTTCAAAAATTTTTCAGCGTCCAGTGTCTTCTGAGCAAATACTCTACTAACAGAAATATAAGTAAAAGGAGAAATCTCACCTAGATGGTCCCCGTGCCCAAATTCCATCCATAATCATTGGCTTCCATTATGTTCTCCCAATCCAGGTCATCGCCATCCCTTCAAGAAATCAGTCAAGTACCACTTTTAAGTATTATATGAACCCGGAAATAGAATGATTTTGTGTACTAGTTATGGACTAGTGGTATTTCGAAAGCATATATAGCCAGCATAAACGAACTCACCACGGTTCTCTACCCTCCTTTATGCCATGCAGCATTATTTTTTGACCCTCCACTTTCACAATAATGAGATGGTAGCTGATAAGGTTATATCCCTCGACCTCTAATTCTGTTGGTTCGCCATCCACCTTGATCTTGAATGTTAGAGAAGAATTTAAATACTCTGCAAGATCAAGAAGCCGGTTTCGATCAACCCTCAGTACATTGATTCCCGGATACGGAGAGTAATTTCGGGAAGCCCTAGCTATCCTTCCCTCCAGATCGGCGGCAGATTTGGGTGCTTCTAGAGAGACACATTGGCCTGTTATACAAGCAAGTAATGTCTTTTGAGGGCTCATTTTTCCAATTTTTAAGGTGGGAAATCGAGACAAATATTCAAGGGCCGGCGAGATTTTGAGCCAGGTTTCCTCACGACTGATGAGCTAGACTTAATTTGATTGAAGCTGGTTTTCTCGGGTGCTGTCAACTTTTATAGAGCTTCGAGTCAGGTCATCCAAACCTGAAAGAAAACCCCAGTCACGCTGTTCCGTGTTCAGCCAGATATTCAATTTTAAACTTGCTTGGAAAACCATCAGCAATTTCATTGCCATTGCTAACCAACTAGTCGAAGCTAAATTGACCATCAGAAAAAAAAATTTAGACGGTACGTAGTGATAGTAATGTGTGTGTGCATGTGTGGGTGTGTGTGTGGGTGTGGGTGAGTACTTTGGCTAGACTTTGAATTTTGGACATGCTCGGAAATCCATTAGCAATATACTTGGCTTAACTGGACTTGACTTGACTTTAATTTTCACCGGGTAACTTCGGAGTGCAGAGAAAGGTAACCATGCTTGTGTGTTTGTGTGGGGGACGTATAAGAGCAAAAGCTATGCACGGGCACTGCAAGGAGCAGCTGATTTTCGTCATAACCAAAACAAAATTTCTATACATAATGAATTTTGACACTGACATTCAGCTGGATTTTTTAATGGAGAAAGGTCATATACATAGCATCATCAGTTAGCGTCACCATACTTGCATCATGTGCATGCAGAACGTATGGAAGATGACGGGAAATATATGCAAGGTTGATGCCTGAAAATATAATATATGTGAACTTAAAAGGATAAACGTAGAAATTTTGTTACCCATAGAAAGATTAATATGTATATATTTTGGAAGGCATCTTCAAAGCCCAGACCAGTGTTATTTACCCTAATACTCTAAATTCCTTAATTTTTTTTTTTTCATTCCTCTCATGGCTTAATTAACACTGAAAAGAACGAACGCCAGAAAGATTTTCTGTGAATGTATTTTAAGGATGACCAAACTATTTAACTATCAATTCATTCCAATTCCCTAAAACCCAATGTTTCCTACTTTTACGATTTTTTGGAAGACGAGAGAAGGATATTTTCTTTTCAATTCTTTATATATATTTTTTGACAGAATAAGGAAAAACTCAAGGGCTGTTAGTGTTCTTTGAGACCTGGTCTGCAGCCATATAGACGTGGTTTGCACCGCGTAGATGCTGATAGCACGAATGCGACATCACAGAGGAAAGGATGCACTGCAACTTAAAATTTGTAGTTGATTTTGAGCAGTCGCATGTATGAACGGAGAAAAACGTACGTGTTAGGTACTTTTATATTAACCAAATTGTGATCAGACAAACGATGCATTGGTTACACTTCAATTTGTGTACATTCAGTCTCTAGCACCTGACTGACTTTTAGTCAGTGGAAACATTAAGACAATAATCATGAGTTCTTTGATTAGATTCTGAAAATTTTTTTCATTTTTTTTTCCTTTTTAAGGCTATAAAAATGAAAGAAAAAAATCTTCACAAACTCGAAAATTGTGGTTCCATGTTCCAGAATTGTGCTGCTCTTCGAAAGTATTCTTAATGTAGGACAAATAAGGCATTGCGCATGCGTTATGTTGCAGAGGCAGCTTTCCGTTTCATAGTTTTATGTTTATGTTGGAAACTAAACCAAACCGGACGGTCCCTTCGGGGACATCGGATAGACCAAATCCGACGAGACTTGGGAGCTTCAATTGATTGACCCCGTGACGAATGCTTGATTTACTTATAAGGAAACTTGGGTGGCAGTTGTTTTAAACTTCTTTCTTCAGAAACTTATGGTTGGTCTACTAACTCGACTTGAAAAGAAATAAAACTTGCATGGGCAGTAACCAAAAAAAAGAAAGTAGAGTTTCCTTTTTTGCCAGAAAATTTTTTACATGGGCAAACCTGGGTGCATATGTCAAATCATACAAGAATACAAATTCTAATTTTACAATGATTGTGTTAAACAAAATTTATCCAAAACGGAAGGGAGAATCATATACATGTCATCACTTTCTGTATAATTAAGCTTTCCCTTGACTGTGGAGTCAAGTAGCACAAAACTTACCACTAGAATATCAGAAGTTGGGTTTATGGTGAGTTAATTACTCTTTGCGAAGCACACCTTATTTTTATCTTTTCTTGGGTACGGAGCAGTCAATTTCATAATTTGAATTTAAATTTTAAATTTGATATATTTAACATGTATCCACTGTTATGCTTTAAAAATATGTAATTTTGTAGCCATTTGATTCTCAAACTTCCTTGTCCTCCCTGCTTCTTCCTTCCTCTCCTCCTCTGCCTATAAAAACTGTAAATTAAAAAATAAAACAAAAGGAACACATGGACTGGCATGCAATTATTAGCTAGGTGCGAATTACTAATTAAAAACCTTGTTAAAAAAGAAAGTACTCTTATGTTCTATTCGGTGCTACATTTTAGCAAAAACCTCAAGTCACAGAATGAAGGCGGAGTACCTCTACTAATGAAAGAAATCTTTGAGCTTCAATCAAATTCAGCAAAGCCCTCGAACCTCTGCACTTACTATGAAGTACGAAGACAGATCGAGGTGCATCTTCCGTTGTCGTTGTTGCACAGCTCAATGCAGTTCCTGAAGTCGTAACTCTGACAATCGTCACATTTGTCGCAAAGAATCACCAACGAACCAGACACCAAAATGACTAGAAACACAACAAACACAACCAAGATGAACATAGAAAAAATTCGTCCCCTTTCGTGTTTCTCTTTCAGAAAAGGTGGCACTGGTCGACCACCAACTCCGGCAAGATCCAGTTCTCTTTCGCGCGTTAATCGATCATACTTCCGAGTCAATTTTATCAAAATTGATAGATTAAGTAAGCCCGCAATTAAAGAGAGGGAAATGGGGAGCCAAAGGTATTGGCATTTGAGGGGTGAGGGATTACCAGAGATGGATTTGAAAATGACACCTTGGAAGACTAAGTAGTAATTTGCATGCTGGAAAATGTCCTTCAATAATTGTCGAATTTCCTTCTCTCCTCTCTCCATTCTCTTTTTCTCTTCGACTCTTGAATCTTCATTTGCAGGATTGGTCCCTGCATCGGCAGCAGACAATCGCGAGACAGAAGAGAACGGAGAGAGTTGTAGCCCATCAGGGACAGAATAGCCTCCTCCTCCTTCTTCCATGGCTAATGATTCAATCAATGATTTGTTTTTGAGAACCAAAAATCTTTATGTCACTCACTCTACTTCACTAGTGCTTCTGCATGTGACAGACTATACACTAAATGACTTAATGGCATAATCATGTTAAAGGTTACAATATTCTGATGAATATTGTTCATAAATTATGATAAAAGTTGTACGAGGGTCAAATTGAAAGCACCATTTGGACAGTGGAAGACAAATAACGACTACGATAAAAAAAAATGCACCCAATTAACTTGAACCATTCTCCAAGATGCCCATATTTTTGTGACGTTGTCAATTTTCATATTCTGTCGTTTTCTGATTACCTGCCCCTCTATAGTGGCTGCCTATAATCATAGGCTAATTATTTAGACAGTAAAATAATTAAATAAATAAAAGATCCCTACTAGAAGCACTATCGAAGATAACCACCATCCTATGGTCACCACTAAGCCATTTAAGATTTGATGAAGTGGGAGACAAGGTTTCACAATTATCACATTAAGTGGTTTCTTAAAAAATTCAGACCGGTCTGGTAGTGGTTCAGGCCCCACTAACTCCCCTTAGATCCAATTGAATCTCTCCCTTAAATTAAGATAGTGTAGAATACTATAAATAAAAAATGACAATTAACCAAAAAAAAAAAAAAACACTGTCGAAGACGTAAGGGGTGACGGATTGGAAATTTGGCAGGGCTTTTGGATTCCCGGTAGGTCGAATGTTATGCATTATCGTTAATTAATTTTGAGAAACATATAAAACGTACATGAATAAGATCATTTCTTAGTTGGCCTGGCTGCATATTTAAACATATGAAACAATGAATTCCTTCAGGGAAAAAAAATAAAATCGAAATCAATGCAATTCATTTCTTATTTACTCACCTAGATGTAATGTCGAATTATTTACTTTCTACAACTTTTAATCTGTCAACAGTGTCTGCGTGTGTGTGTCTAAGGGATTAAGGGTCATTACAATTATCAATAGCAATTGCATGGTGCCCTACAAACACTATTAGAACAAATTTAGCATAAAAATAACAAAAATGGACATTGACATGGCATAAAATAACAGTAAAAGTACAATAAATTTCTCTATCATTGAAATTTGTTGTGTTCTTACATATTGTTATGTTAATATCTAATTTCATTGTTCTAATATTTATATTTACTGCCCTGGTGCTTATGTTGTACGGTGCAATTGTCACTGGTAATGCAGATGCTCCTAATCCATGTCTAAGGGTGCACTTACCAGTTACCATTCCCAACATAACAAGGCCTCAAAAATCAAAATTGGACACGAGGAACACTTGAGCTGTTCCATTTTTTTTGGAGGGGCTTTTCTCATGTGTATTTGACAATTTATTGGCTGTTGTGTAAGGTGCGAATTGTGGCCATCTAGAGCTTGCAAAAAGAATAACAATGAAACAAGAGATCGTCAAAAGTTATGCACTTTAGGTACAAATAATATTAGACGTCTTCCACAACACAAATACTTATTCTTGCTTAAAGCCATAAAAATATTGATGTTGCAATATTAATGTAGCACGCAAACAAGTACTCTTTGTTATGCATACCTTAAGTTCTGTTTGGATTAGTTGTTTTTAGGGGTTGTTTTTGAAAAACTTTACTATAACTGTATATGTGAAAAACTTTTTCTGCAAATATTTTTAGGATGTTTTTAGAAGTATTTTTAGGGGTTTTTAAAATATTTTTTGGGATATTTTACAATTTATCACTTTTGGGGTATTTTTTAAAAAAATTTTACACCACCACCCCTTCCTTCCTCTCCCCTCTTTCCTCTCTCACTCTCCCTTTCCTCCTTCTTTCCTCTTCCTTCTCCCATCTCCTCTTCTTTCCATCCGCTTCCAAACCCCTCTCCTATTCATAGGTGGATTGCAGCCACCACTCT